ACACAGAGCCACACACACGCCCACACACACACATACAGAGACTAATACACATGCTTTGCATACGGAAAGCCCTCTTGTCGATGTAATTCCCCATTTATAATTTACTGTCGTCGATTTATAAATGAGCCGATGCCATCAACGTTTGCCAGCTTTGCAGCTGTATTACTGTGTGTGTGTGTGTGTGTGTGCGTGTGTGTGTGTGTGTGTGTGTGTGTGTGTCTGTGTGTGCGTGTATTTGTTGCATGCGCCACCATTTTGGGACGCCTGAGACGCAAGTGCTTAACATAATTTTAGGCGCATTTTGTGGCATTAACAGAAACGAAAGGCAAGCGATTGTCCCAGCTCCCTCTGCTATACACTCTAAAAAAAACTTGTCCCATTCAATTACAAACAACAATAGCAGGGGAGCTTAAAGCTGTTGAAATATTCAGGCAGTTTTCTAAAAGACTTACAGAGCCTCGTTAAATGAAATGCGGTTATTGAAATCCCATTTAAAGCACGTTAACTGCTTGAAATTCCCATTTATTAAAGATTTTTTTAACATTGCAATACAATCTCTTGCAGAAGACTTCAAGTTTGCAAAAGCTTTCGTTTCCTTTACATAAATGTTCAAAGCGTATGCCAACTGTTCAGATATGTTTTAGGTTCCCTTGAAAACATAAACATCGTAACGATTCAACTTTCATAAAATTTGAATATATTAGAGATAGAATATTGTTCCATAAAAACACTAAAGAACTTGAGTTTTCAGAAGAACTTCAAGTGTTTATGTGTATAAATCAATTTATGTATTACAAAAACTTAAATATCTCACATATCATGGAGAATTTTAATATATATATAAGACAGGCGCTGTAAAAAGCTCGCATACACTTTCAATACTAGCTCAATTTAAAGCGAGCTTTAAGAAACTTTAACAAAAAGCTCACCAAATCACTCGCTTGCCTCCAGTTTCAGCTGCTCAAGCATAGTCAGTTTTCATATTCCTTTAAAGAAATATACTTTCATACATGAGAATATAAGATTGGTTTAGTTAATAATTTGCTATAAGCAATTTTGTGCAGTGTATACGCTTAACAGTCTCACAGGTGTGTTATATACAGCTCTTAAGCCATTCCCAGTCTGACCCAGCCTGACCCTGAGCACTGGCTTAAGTGTTCTGCAGACATGTGCCGCAGGTCGCACTCTCCCAGCTGTCTAATTACAAATTTATATAGTGCGGCTTAGTATTCAAAGTCTCGAGAGTTTCATTTGATTTCACATCAAATACCTCAGCACTACTCAGGCAGGTCAAGTTCTATATGCATTTGCATGCATATATGTATTGTATATAGGATACCTAAGCATACCTGCCCGCAGCTACTGAATGTCAGATGGAAGCAACGCTATTCGAATGACAGGGCTTATGACAGGCATCTTTAATGATCGCCTTATAGCTGAGGGCCCTTCGTGTACTGTCCATAAACATAAATTAGGCAATGCTCTGAGATGGTCTTTAAACTTTCAATTGAGTGTGAAAGCAACACCAATGCAAGCTGCTTGAAAAGCTCATGAAAGCTGCAAGCATTTGAAAAGCTTCTTAAAGCTCTCTGTCACATCTACAGCTGGGGAATGATATTTTCATTTGAGAGTATGCTAGAGCATATGCTAGAGTATACTACTACTCTTAGTAGTATATCAAATATACTACTAAAATTATTATAGAAATTTTTAAATAGCTTTTACTTTAAGTCAATTTCTAAGCATTTCAGTCGACTGCTTCATTAATTTTCCACTTTAGTGTTGCACTACTAAAGAAGCTTTCAAGTTAAGGCGTTACACAAACTTCTTCGTACTAATTCATTAATAGCTGCGCAATCTATTTTAAGCATATGCACAAAGCTTTTTGTAATTTGTTAAAATCAACGACAGCTGTCTCTCTCCTTCTCCCTCTCCCTCTCTCTCTCACCTTTCTCTCTTTCTCTGTCCTACTCTAGTTGGAAAACTTATAAAATTATGATACCCAGAAAGCAACAAATTTTAATTGCAAGAAAATTTTCGTAATTCACGCGCACACGAGACAGAGACAGAGACATAGATAAAGTCATATGTGTGTGTGTGTGGCTGAGGGTAGTCAAAGGGGCCAAGGGCGGTGCAAGGAGGAATACTTTTGCAAAAGGGGCGTGGCAATGTTGTAAAACAAGCCAAGACCAAAAACACAAACCAAAAGCTCGTTTAAGCGTAGCAGCCCAGTAGGGGATAGCCAAGGGGGGGTAGCTAAGCGTGTGGGGGTTGAGCAGATGGAGGCTAACAATTTTGGGTGCTCAACTATGCAACTGATTGCATGTGTGTGTGCGTGTGTGCGTGTGTGCCTGTGCGTGTGTAAGTTATAAATTTATTTAGCCAACGCGCGTATAGCGCATAAATTTCAGAACGCAAGCTGCTTAAGGGTTGCCAAAACCTACGCCGCCCGCCCCTGCTCCGGCCAGAGTTATAGCCAACAAATGCGGGGCGCTTTGGTCTGTGTGAAAAATTGAAATTTATAGTTATTGTAAGCCCCACACACACACACACACACGCACACGCACACACACTCGCACTCGCGTGAACACAGCGTGAAAGAACACCTTGTTGTCGTGTTTTGTTGTTGGCGAATTACCCGCAGACAAAATAATAATGTAATAATAATTTTTCCAACTCGTTAACACATGAAACGTGTGTTACACATGCACGAACTGAGCTGCGAACTGCGAACTGCGAACTGTGCGACCCAAAGACCGCCAAGGACCAAACACCAAGGATCACAGACCACAACGAGGAAAAAAACCAAGCGAAAGCGTTCAAGTTGTCAGTGTCCGACGGGATGATACCCTGAAAATCAATTCAAGCTGAGCTCTTTGAAGAGACAGACGCACGATGGACGGGCGGACGAACGAAGCGAGGGACGGGCAAACAAACGGACGAACGGTTGGGGGAACAAACTGACGGACGGAATGGCGGACGAACGAACGGACGGGTGGACGAACGAAAGGGCGGGGACACGAGAACGAACGAGCAGGACGGTCAGGCATGCGGACGGACAAATAACACGATGTCAACATAGCATAACGAAGAGCTGGAAAGATGAACGAACTATGGACAAGAGACGTACGCAAAGACAGAGAGGCGGATACGTAGAACATAGCTAGATAGACTCGAATTCCGGTACCTGATTCATAATACATGTAAATTATGCACTCATCTGTTACATATCTGCGGCCAACAACAATAATACCCTGCAGGACAATCGGCATGCGTACAGGGTATAAGAACCATCGCCCAGCTGCTGAACCGTAGAGCTCACCTTACCTTGCTTCCATTCCGGCTTGAAACTTCTTCGCATTTTGACCGGCACACAGAAATCGTGTGTGGATTAGATGCAACTCTAGTGTGAATTAATGATGCGCGTCGGAATGTGGAAGCTATGCGGACGACAGAGAATAAACAAAGGGAACCTCTTGCAGAATGTAAGACCAGGCAGTACGGGAAATACGCGAAGCAGAGCGCGATTAAGGCACATGTGGCTGATGGGAGAGGTCATTAAAGCTGGCCGTTATTTGTGCTAAGTTAATGTTTTATAGTCAAGCCCAAGGAAATATACATATCCACGAGGATATTATCTCTCCCTGATACAGAGAATACAACTATTGGTTACGCCCAAGCTCGCAGACTCTAACTGGCTTTCTCTCTCTCTCTCTCTCTATTGCACTTAGACACTCAACAGTTGCCAGAGAGTGAGCTCTCCCATATCCTGGATGATCCATTGTAATTCCTGGATATCCATTTCCGTTTCACCTACTTTCAATTGGCGCAATCAGCCACACAACACAAACTTATTATTCAAACTAAAATGAAAAGTCAAGGAGCAGCTAACTTTGATTTAAGCCGAACTAAACGATGTGATCTAAAAATATTTGATTTATTCAATGCTTGGCATTCTGTGGTAGATTCATTTCTCAGAGTTTGCCTTATTTCATTTTCATTTCCATTTTCGTTTTCATTCGGGCACAAAGCACAAGAGCCTAACATGGCAACCGCAGCAGCTGCCTTCCGACTCTTCTCGTTGCCCATTGACGAGAGGGGCTAAGCATGGGGTAGATTGGTTCTGTTCGAGTGCATGCCAATGGCTAAATGTGGTCTATGGTCAATTGCATAAATCGATTATGTATTTATCTATTCTATGTATATCAGAAATCTAGGCCTGCTATAAGTCGACTTGATCTTATATTAGTGATCTTTGAATATTATGGTCTTGGTACATAGTATATAAAAGTTATGATAAGTGATACTTAAGCCTCTTCCTCTCATAGATATGCACTCGAGACTTCAAACATATCGTACTTCTAAATGAAAAGTTACAGTAAAACAACCTTCACAAACTACAGGAAAACCCTGCGAGTGTGTGAGTATAAGAAGTCTATAATAAAGAAGTCGGATCAGAGCTCGGCTTTACGCTTAGGGTATCTGCGCGTCGAGCACTTCAGTCTAGAGCTAGCTTAGTTGTTGCTTTTTCTTCCTGGTTTTTCCTTGTGCATTCGAGCTTTATTCGCAGCTTTCCTTTCTCTGACAGCGCACAGAAAAAGTGAACGAAAAACGAGAAACGAACTGCAAAAAGAAATAAAAATCCATTTGTATAGAGCGCTATCAGTGAGTTGCCCAGTTGGCTGGCTGCCTGGACTCCTGTTGTCCTGTTGGCCTGTTGTCCTGTTGGCCTGTTGTCCCGTTGTCCTGCCTGAACTAGAATAAAATAATTGAATTCAATTTATCGGCATAAATTGTTTTAATTAAAACTGAAAAACAATGCGCAGCAAATAAAACCTTAAGCCGAATAGATGGCATACTCTTCTTACCTGGGCTTCGTTCGAATTTTCGTCTTAGACTAGTTCAATTTTAGGTATAACAGATTTATTCATATAGCATATATAGCTGGGCTCATAACTTTATTAGGTTTTAGTTTTAGTTCCATTAGAAACCACACAATATTTCTTTTAAATATATTAGCCTTTAATATTTATCACTCCAAAAAGTATTACATAGTTATTTAATTCATAATCAACTACTTTCGACTCGGAAAGATATAGTATATAGTATATAGCAACCTGTACCCGCAGCAGCATCCAATGTAACATGATTGATTCGTCAAAACCCACGGGTTCTGTCTCAAAATGGGCGTTACATTCATATGTGCATTTATTCGGGATGTGGGTGCCACAATGGGTGTAAACATATCGATTTTTCTCCATGTATAGGTAGATGTATGTATATATATATATAATGATATAGTATTACATACACATATATAAACATATATATATATACATACTGTACTAGGTATAACCAATATCATTCTAAATTAAACGTGTATGATGCCATAGAATCAATGTCCTCTGCCTTTTCTTTGTGTCGAGAGCCGAGCGAAAATCCAAAAAATTGTTTTACTACAAAAAGGTACCAAAATGAAAATTTCTTTGTGAAAGATAAGTGAAGGAAGTGTTCGATAGATGGTCCTGGTAGCTTTCACTCGGTCGCTCTAAAGACTTGCCAAGATCTTGGCAATGAGTTCATCCGTCTGCTGAACGAACGACTCTAGAGGAACAATTTGTTGATCGGGCGGTATCTGGCGTGTTTCAGTATCTAAATCCATAGTCAGTTGGTCCACGTCTGAATCGGAATTGGTGCGTGCCAGTGAAATTGCACGCGCATGAGCCACATCATCCAATTCGATGCCCTGCAACTGTGTTGCGTCCGGCTGCAAGGAGCTGTTAATACTTTCCATTGCACTTGCATAGATGGAGAAGGGATATGGCTCGGCATTCTGCCCGAAACCGGGACCATCGCTTAGCGAACTGGCCGACGAGGTGAAGGCCAGAGTGTCCTGCTGATCCCACTGGCTGTAATAGGAGAACGGGATGGTACGATTGGGACCTTCCACCTCGAGAGCAGCAAATAGGCTACGGCGAAAGTCAAAATGTTCGTAGGAATGACGCCAGGCGTATCGCTCTTCCTGTGCAGTCTGTGGGGGTAGATCGCCGACAAGACGACGGAACGGACGGCTGAGCTCCGTTTCAAAGGAGCGATCCTCACGGTATTGCCAGGCATTGAGATCCTCGCTGTCATAGCTTAGCTCCGAGCGTACATCCTCGATCTCGGCATTCGTGCCGCACGAGCCAAGGTCCCATTCATCATCGTCCGCCTGGGCCGTGTCATTGGGCAAGTGACCCCAGCCGGTGTTAAGGCGCGTGGCCAAGCCACTGGCGTGAGCCCGCAGCTGACGCACCATGTATGCATCAAATGAGTCATCGTCCCCGAAGTCGCTCTCCCAGCTCTCCTCGTCGGGCTGCTCGTCATCGTTGTCCTCATCGCTGCTGGTCAGCGACCAAAACTGCTGCGGAGTCTCCTCAAAGCTGGGCCCCAAAAAGACTGAGTCCTGTATTTCGGAATCACTGGAGCTCGAGTCTGAATCGCTTTTCATCTGCGCATCATCGAAGTCATCGAAACCAACGAAGTCCGCAACAGAATTCTGCGCCTCCGCAATGCGTAAATCCAACTGCATGTCGTCATCTGAGTCGCTGCTCACATCCTCGTAGATCTGCAATTGCTCCGGCTCCGGCTCCGGCTCACGCTCCGGCTCAAGCTCCAGCTCCAGCGGATCCTCTTCCTGCTCGCCCATTGATTCATTAGGCGCGAAACATTGCTCAGCAATCTGAACCGAGTGCTGGACCCGGTCCAGCATCGACTGCAGAGTCTGGCTCGTCACGCGTATATCCTGCATCAAGGCGGGCAGCTCTGAGCTTCGCTCCGGCACTACCCAACCGAAAACGTTGTCCAGTATGCGAGCGGTGCGCATCACATAATTGCAATAGTGCTCCACCATGCGAAATATGGCCGTCGGATGGACGAAGCGGCCGTCGGCAAGAGAGCGCGGCGAGAACAGCTGCAGGGAGGTGCTAGGCAGCTCCAGCGGATTCATCATTAGCTGCTGCAAGATGTTGCCGACGGGCTCGCGCGCCAGCATCAAATTGCGGATCAGCTCGGGACTAACTGTGAAATTGTGAATGGTATTCGCATAGTGTTGGCCATTGTGAATCATCAGCGTGGAGATGCACCAGCTGGCGGTGACTCTATTCTCAGGATCCGTGTCCAATTCCAGTACCGACTCCGGCGCTATATGGATATGCATTGTGGTTCCGGGCGACACCTGAATGGTGAACATACAGTTTTCCGATTGGCGCAACAGGCTTGTTGTCTCGCGCAGCATCTTCTCCTGATCGGTCTCCTCGGTTGGCTCCTCCTTAAGGTTGATTGCACGATCTCCCTCGTCCATGGTTGAGCTGATATATGTATCTCTTGTCTTTATCGATATGATTCAGTGATTCTCTTTCGTGTCTCTTGAGCTGTTACAAAACCAAAAAAAAAAAAAAAAAAAAAAAAAAAAAAAAAACGTTTTTACCCAATTAGATTTCCAATCACTTTTCAATTGCCGGCAATGCACATGCGCAGCCCTTTTGCACGCCCCCCGCCCACGGACCACTTTTAATTTACGTTTCTTTTCCGTTCAATTAAAGGAACATGCCCCACGGCAAATTGAATTAAGCCTCGCACTTACACTTACCAATGTTTGTCTTCTATTTATTTATTTTAGGCTGTGGCTTTCCACGCGTAAATTTGTGTGCTTCAATTTGTAGTTATGGGGCTAGTAATTGTTTTTTTTTTTGGAGTTCTTTTCAAAAGTGGTTTTTCGTTTTTTTTGATTTTTTTATTTTTTTAGTTGTCAAAAAATGAGGTTTAGTTTGCTATTAGGAATTTACTGAACGGTCACACTGAACTGCTTCCCCATACAACTGAAATGAACGAGAAATGTTATCGTTCCACGAACTTGGCTAGCCTACTACGGTATGCTATAAATTTGAACCACATGCATATATACCAGATAGTTGGGATCCAATTTAAGGGCCAGTAAGTCAATTTACAATTCATGAGAAATGCATACAAAACGCATTTAAAATACAAATATGATTATTATTAAATGTTAATAAATAAAAATAATATTGATAAATATTTATACCAAAGTGTAAATTCATCTTAAATCAATAAACATTTTATTTTATTTTATTTTATTTGATAAATAACATAATTTAATTTATCGATGCTAAAAGTTACATAAATTAGCTCGCATTGCATTTGCTTTAAGTTAGCAGCGCCTGCTCAATTCGCCGCTCATATTAAATTCGCCCTGCGTTGGCTTTCGCTAATTTAGCTTTGACGTGTGTGTGTGTATGTATATAACTAACGCTATGCATACATATGCATATGTATATGTATGCGTATGCACATTCACACATACAGAGGACAACCCCTGGTTTTACAAGTACTTTCGTGATTGATTTCTCCACTTGTTCCGCTCGCATAATTCAATCAGCGCGCGCCTGTTACGGCTTGAGCATATTTGCGCATTTTCGGGTGCTAATGGAATTTTAACACAAATTAGTTGTATTGCTTATTGCTTAAATGCCAGCAAGTAATTTGGTAATGTCAAAGCCAAAAGTTGACCTGAGGCATTTCAGCTGTGCCGTGGTGTGAGGCGACTGTGGCTGCTGGGGCTGTGCGGGGGCTCTTCATTCCATTGGCAACCACAAAAGCAATTTCGTTGCCCGAGCGCTTTTTGTGCTCGAGTCGCAGTTTGAGTTGAAAGTTGGAGGGAGAAGGCGAATTGAGTTGGTGCTGGAGTGTAGCGGTAACTGTTCTTGCTGCTGCTTCTTCTTCTACTTCTTGACGATCCGAGTTTGAGTTGAAATTGTTGTTGTAGTTGGAGTGAGCAGCGACTCTGGTAATTTGGGCTGCAGCTAAAGTTGGAGCGAGAGAGCAAATTGCTGCTTCCTCTTCCTCTCTTTGTGCTTGAGTAGAAGCTGCTGCGGGAGTGGGCAGCAAATTGTTGCTGCTATTGCTTAGCATGACAGTTGGAGTGAGTGAAAGAGGAGCTGCTGCTGCTGCTCCCGTTGCTCCTGTTGACTGTGTGCGATTGGCAATTTCTCAGTTGCGTCAGGCGACTAGCCACACGGCACCGGCACACGGCACTTGGCATGTGACAAGGCCAGACTTGCTAAGTGCTTATGACAACGCTTTGCTGCACAGTTGCAACTGCTGCTGCAGGCAGCAGAACTAATAAGCTTGGCTGTGCGACCCACTCACACACATACACAGACGCAGACGCAGACGCAGCTTGCGCCTTTCGCTGACGTCAAACTGCAATATTGGCATTAAATATTTTTGCTTGAAACAGCGCAGCAATAAAATCAAATCAAGGCAACAAGTGCAACAGAAGAGAGGGGGGAAAAAGACAGCGAGAGCAAGAGCGGCGCAATATCTGTGGCCAAAGCTGTCGCAATAACCGTAATACATACATACATACATACATACACACACACACACAGAGACACGCTCATAAAATGAAATAATTTCGCCGCAAGGCAGCCAAAAAGTGAAGCGAAAGAAAACGAAACGTAATGCAAAGGCAGCGACGCCAGCAGCGACGCAGACGAAAGCAAAAGCCGATGCGAAAGAAAGAGAACGAAAAGAAAAAAATGAACGGAACAGGCAAAAATATCATCATCATCGAACGTAATTTATTTTATTTGCCGCCATCGCTCTTTGAGTCAAAAGAAAAATATTTGGCGAGTGCTGCAAAAACAAGAGCAGCGCAGCCCAGCCCAGCGCAGCGCAGCGCAGCGCAGCAGTGCTTTAGGCATTATCAGCAGCAGCGGCAGCCATCGCATCGAGCCAATGCGTATCGAGTACTGAGCTCTAAGTACTCAGTCAGCCAGTGACAGCCAGCAGCAGTTGAAATGAAAATATTAGATGAGGAATAAGAAGAAGCGCTCATGTTTTCTTTTACTCCGGAGCACATTTATTTCTCTATTGTTTTCATAATATAATATTGCAATAGCAGCTGAGAACTTTCTGAAAATGGACAGAGAAAAGTTGGAATCGAGGCAAGGCCAGTATAGAATGGAAAGCGACGAAACGTTTTCTTTTCATTCAAAGTTTGACTGAGAGTCTTGAATGGATATATACGAGAATATATGTATATGATATAAGTATACATTCATATGTATGATAGAAGTTATGGAATATATTAAAATTAGTGTATGCGTAAATCTTAGCTGAATGTGGAAAGTTAGTGGCTGAGAGTGAGGTATGAAGAGGGAAGGCGAATAGAAGAGATGGAAAGAGATGATAAGAGTCAAAAAGGAAAGTTATTGAAATTGGGAGAAAACGTAAAAGAGACTGAGAGAGAAAGAGTTAAAAAGTAACGGAAATAACGCAAAATTTTACGAAATCTAGAGGCTAAGAGTTAATGAGAGGGACTATGAGAAAACCAAATATAGAGAGTGGTAAAGGAAAAACGATAGAGAGAAAAGCGATAATAAGAATATGAAAAATACTGTTTACTTAAATGTTGGAAAATGATTGAAAATGAATCGAGAGCGTAGCAGGAACTAAGCCACGCCCACATTTGATTAAAAAAACTTCAAAATTTTCATACATTCATATCCATAAGCAATTGAAAAGAAATATTCTACTTGATAAATATTGGTTTTAGTTGGAAAATTGAGCAACATCTCTGTATACTCGCTTCAACCTAACCTAACCTAACTTATGCAGCAATCATAACCTCAACCACTTGTGCAAGTGAAGCATGTGCGAAACATGGCCCAAACCACACACTTAGCTTCCACTTAATAACTGGCTTACTGCCTGCACAGCCATATTCATATCTATATGTATGTATGTATGTATGTAGGTGTACATGTACATTCATATATATTTGGGCCAAATCTCAGCCTCAGCTGGCCTCAGCTGAACTCCCAGCTAGCTCTGGCCCCATCTATTTTAGTGATATCAGTTTTTCTTCTTCCTTTTTTTCGGAGGTGGAGCCTGAACTCTCAACTGCTCGGCTGCTGCACTTACGAGTCGGGGCTAGGCTCTGCCTGGCTGCCCAGTTGCCGGGGCACTCTCCGTCCCGGCTAAGCCACGGCCCAGCTCCGGCGAAGGCAGAGCCAAAGGAGGAAATGCAAAAATGGATGTTCTCCGGCAGTGCAGCCCGAAAATTATGCAATGCTCGAGCTTTAAAGTAGATTACACGAATATTTTGCGCGCCGGCACAAAAGCCCACGATGGGCATTAATCACGGCCTAGCGACGGCCAGCATCTGCCTTCCTATCCGCATCCATATCTTCCTCCCTTATGCCCATCCCTCTGCTGCCACGCCCATCTGGGCTGTATTGTATTTCGTAAACAGTGGCTGCAACGTCCACGGGCCAAGCTACTTACTGGCCAAGGCTTTCGTGCTAACAAATTGCCAACGTGCCGCTATGCCAGAGCGAACCCCTTTGGGTATCTCGCTGCCTCTGACTCGCTCTCTCTCTCTCTCTCTCTCTCTCTCTCTCTTACTCTCTCTGAGATTTTTCCAGTTTTGGCCGACAGCGCGAACCGAAAAATGGAAGAAAATTAACATAATTTTTCAATTGGCTTTCGCGTGCCAACATCCACGTGTCCGCATCTACCCGCATGACCAATAATTGTCTAGCCATATTTTATTGGATTCCCGTTCCTACTTCGGTATGCCAAGGCACAGCGTGAACATTTCGCTTTACCAGCTTAAGCTATTGCAGCAAACGGGAACTGAAAATGAATCCTGACTTGAAGTGCTCAATAGACGGATAGATCAAGTAATACTCGTACCTTAATCAGAGTTACCCATTAGCCTCTGATGGCACCAATACCTAGAGCCAATAAACACTGTTATTAAACAGTTCTATAGACACAATTTATATGTAGTCCTCTCTTCTTGATGGCAGCCGTTACATCGCTATTCTTTCGATCTCATTTCTCTCTCTCTCTCTCTCTATCTTTCGATCTCATTTCTTTCTCTCTCTTTCGATCTCATTTCTCTCTCTCTCTCTTTTTCGCCCTCTCTCCCATTCACTTTAACTTATCCTTATTTTGATACTCGCTGTTCTCCTCCTTCTCCTTCTCCTTCTCCTTCTGCTTCTCTTTCTCGCTCTCCTTTTCTTTCTTGTTCACGTTCTTACTCTTATTCCTCATTCTGATTTTCATGCTCATTCTCATTCTTATACCCCATTCTCATTCTCATTATCGTTCTCCATACCTTCTCCAATTCTCATTTGTTGTTAACTTCTTTTTCCTCTTCAACCCATTTTCCTATATTTCGCGCTCGGTCTTCTCTTCTTCTTTGTATTTCTATATATGTATTTAAGAAGAAATTTAAGTAGCAAAGGGAGGAAAAAACATAACAGAAATATAAAGATGAAGAGAAGACCGAGCGCGAAATATAGGAAAATGGGTTGAGGAGGAAGAAGAAGTTAACAACAAAGGTAAACATACCTTTATCTAATCTAAATGATAAGATTGAAGGTGAAGAGATAGTTATTTATATTTTTCTTTCTTAGTTTTCTTTCTGTTTCGATCTCTCTCTCTCTCTTTCTCGCTCCATTTGTCTTGTTCTCAATCGCATTTTCAGCCTCTTTCACACTCGTCTTACCTATCAACTTAGACTTCACTTCCTATCTCTTTCCCTCAAACTCAAGGTGAGCCTCTCCTTTTCCCTCTCTCTACCCATACTCTCTCCCTATTTCCTCTTCCTCATCGATTCGCCTACACATGAATATTTGTTCGGTAAGCGACCGCATAAACATTTGCAATATGGCGACGCATCTGTCGCATAACCGCCAACTTCCGGTTAACAAACAACCAAAACACATACACACACACACACACACACACACAAGCACACACATTCGCCGCTTGTTTAGTTTTTGTTGTT